CTAATTTTTGTGAAAACTGGCTTGCAACTTGGGGTGGATTGCTCAATAGAGAATTTAATGTTTCGTCAGGGAAGAGTTTTTTAGAATGGAGCTTATTTTTTGTATTTTTTATTGTTAGATTAGTTGCATGCATCGTTTTCTTATCAAGGAATTTGTAAAGGGTTTGTTTTTGTGCTTCGAACTTGGGTCCTATCCGGGGAAAAAATTGAAAGGATAAATTAATGGACAATTATATTAGAGAGACAAATGAAGTACCATCTATTGATACAAGGTAGTTGAAAATGCATTTGCTTGAGTGTTATGAAGGACAATGGTGTTGAATTGAGGTAGCCTGCCCAAAGTTTTCCAAAATAATTTTAATTAGTTTGCTTAATGCTTATGTTATCTATATAATGTATACTTAGGGGTATTACAGTCATTAGTACATAAACTTTCAGAACTATATTTTTCAAACAGATCAACTGCTTCTGAAACACCAGTTTTTTACAATAGATTTTTAACAATAGCTTTTGAACTGAGATTTCGTACGACTACAACAAACGCACCCTAAGAGCAGTAATTTTCAACGTTGATCTTATGAGCATAAAGAAATAAGTGGGGATATCAAAATTAAGCTCAAAGTCATTAATTATATCAAAATTCATTCCTTCTTTAAAACTTGGTACTATCTTTCTTATTTTTTGTGGAAATAAGTGGTGATCCCTTTTTTTTACTTATTATTATGTTCCTTTTTGTCTTATTTCTATTTTGGTTATGAATTCTCTAGTGCTAGGTTACTTTTTTCTTTACGGTTATATAAAGCAAACTTTGATCAACTGAATGCAACAATTGACAAATTTTTTTTTTATATTCTCTGTTTTCAGTTATGAATGTGAATATTATAAATATTGTCATTGCTTTTACTCCTTAAGCTGATTAGAAAAGACTTAAAAATTTATAATTAATCACTATTTTTAATTATGAACTACTACGATGTGTGTCTAGTAACTATATTTATTGGGGTGATTTAAATGAACATATGGGTTATAGTATGATGAGTTATAAGAGAATTCATAATATGGGATAATGTAATGTGGGAATCTATAATTTATTTCATAATATCCTAAAATATTGCAAGAGTTGGGCTACCAAATATAAATAGAATTTTTATTAAAGAGAGGAGAAATATTTGTGTGAATAATGTAAATGTTATTCCAATGTAGACCTTGAAAACACTAATTTTGGATGTTGATCTTATGAGCATAAAGAAAAGAGCTAGAAGAAATAATGTTTGAATTAAATGATGGAGTTTTCAAGGTGTGAAAATTTTCTTTTAAGATAGGTTAAGAGGTGTAAACTATAATTATTTAGCAGGGGATATGAAATAGAATTATTTAAGTAAATTGCTGTGAGCTTCTCAAGAGGATTTTCATTATAAATTTGAGCAGATTTTTAAAGTGGGTCATACACATGGAAAAGAGTGTGCTGAGGAGTTGCAAATGGTTATTAGAAAATAAATAAATGTACTTTGAAGGTTTGTCAAAAGTTAAATTCAATAATGGCTTACAAAGAGGGTATTGAACAAAAGCAAAGTAGCAGTTTCTGGTGATTTTTATAATTTTTTAAATGAGACTCGGTGCTAAAAAAGGAGGTATAGAAGTAGTAAGGAAAATAAATGTGTTCTAAGTTGTAAAATTTAATTATTATGAGCCTTATAATAATTATGGAAGACTTGTCAAGAGGGCATCGAGTAAATTAAAAAGTATAACTTCGAATGATTTATACAATAGGTTTGGTATTAAAAGAAAAAGATAAATAACACATAAAATAGTTAAGGCAAGCAAAGAGATATATATATTTTTATCAACTTTAAGTAAGTAGATGTGAATATAATATGACCTTGGTCAAAGATGAAAAAAAAGGAAAGATGAAAATGCTAGTTTTTGGCGGCTTTACTTGAAAAGGCATATTTTTTTCATATTTGGGTATTTGTTTGTCTCTTTTGTGAGTGATTCTTATGAGTTTGATGGTCCTACTTTAGCAAAGGTCACTTCCCTTCCAGCCTTTATGGTCATTTTACTCTTTCCGTGTCCTGTGACAACATGCTTCTACTGTGACATTTAAAGAGAGAGTGCAATCAAGCATTTGAAAATTAGAACACAGAAATGAAGTCATGCAGAGTCAAGCATGTCAATTATGGTAGTAGTTGAACAAATGAGGGAATGCTATTGGTGATATTGATCAGTAGGTTTTATGATATTTGCAAAATGAGAATTTACCCTTGATAAGAACTAGAATATCATAAAGACGATTTTAGTCTTGAATCTAGATTCTGCTGACACTATAGTGAGACATACACCCTAAAACCTATGAATAACTAAGGACTTGACATGTTTTTTATTTTTGTCTAGAAAGGACATCCATTTAAACTCACATAACTGTGTAAAATCATGATGTTTGATCTCTATGCACATTCAAGGGAGGATCAATATCAAATATGGTGGCCTTGCATCTTTGCTAAAGCAATGTTCCCCAGCCATGCATGGACATGACATGCCATATGCAAATATTAATTTAATTATTTTGCTCTGAGTGAGTTCTGCAAATAAATATAATACGAGGACTCGCTATGCATATGCATATCTGTATGTCAGTCTTAGATTTTTTTTTTTTGAGGACCATACCTTTAATGTGTAGGGTAATCTCTTGAATATTAATTGCAAATATTTGGTCCGCCAAAATTGTTTAGATTGATCATTTTAAAAAAGGTGGCTTTAAGAAAACCATGCATGTAATTAAAAAAAATTATCTTCTGTTTGCTTTTAATTTCCTGGTTATCGGGATAAAAGATTTAATATTAGAAGGGTCTAGCATATACACATCTAGGCAAACCGCATCACAAGAATCGAAATATCATGAAATTCTAACCTATAATCATGAAAAATTAATCAAATGATATTAAATGAATAAGCAATGCTCTCAAAACACAGTTGGATCCTGCAATACAGCACCCAAAAGACAAGATAGTTATCTAAGTTCTATCATAAATATGACCCTATTATATAATACATGGAGATGTAGCTTGCGGGTTCTTGGAAGACTGTCTAGAGCATTATGTATCGTTCTGTCTTCTGAGAAACCACATGCCTATATATAGCATTTCTAGATTGAAAATCCCACCCTTGTGAAATACATTTTCTCACATATACATGATTATATATTTTATTTTTGGCCTGGCAAGAGCTCTGTTAAACGAGTAGTGCTTTTGAGGGTACCTTATATATATTAAGCACCTTCGAGGAAATATAACCCTATCCCAGTCCATAGCTAATACAGCGTAACAACCCATTGCCATATGAACCAGCCTTGGCACCCAAGTTCGTAAGATTGAAAGCCTAGGATCATTGAGAGTAGTATATGACTTAAAGGATTGGCAAACGGTAAATTCGCTGAAGTCTTGCAAAGAGGTTATTTGAGTAAAGCAAAAATTGTAGCTTCTAGTAATTTATATAATTATCCTGTAAGTAGGGTTGGTGTTGAGGAAGGTTGTTGAGTGGGTTTAGGAAAAGAAAATTGTACTTAAGAAGTGATAAAATTTAATAATTGTGAGGCTCATTATGATTATAAGAAATCTAGAAAACTTGTAAAGAGGTTAGTGAGCAAACCAAAAATATAACTTCTAATGATTTATGGAATGGGCTTGAGTTTAAAATTTTAGAAAAATATATAAAATAGTTAAGCTAAAGAGAGAAAATTTAGATATTTTTATCAGTGTTGAATCAGAAGTGAAGGTAATAGGATCGGATCTTAGTTAAAGTTTAAAATAAGGATAGATGAAATGGCTACTATGAAAAATTATAATGAAAGTTTTAACAAAGAAATTAAATAGAAGGAGCTTAATGAATGACATATTGAAACATATTATGCATTGATTCTAAATATATATTATAAATTAGTCCAAAATACTCGAGTGGAGTCAACTTCAAAGAAGATCCATAAATATGAAGCTTTAGATCCAAATGAGACGAGTCAGACGACTATTTAGATTTGACGAGTTATATACTCCTATGGAACTTTGTAGTGATTTGATGAACAAATCTTTTCAATAGATTGTTGAAGCTAAGAAAGTGGCAAATGATTAAAGAATAATTATTTTGGTATTACTATTTAAGATTTGGGAAATTTTTTTTTATGATTTTGCTAGTTGTAAAGAAATTCCACTTTTGTTTCATAAAATAATACAATGGAAGAGTAAATAGAAAATTGATTTAGAAAAGTTACTTCAATTTCAAAAGAGTAATTTCATTAATGAAATTATTATGCCAGGAACATTTTTAATGTTAATATGATTACTAAAAGGTGTTGTGGATCAATAAAGGAAATTTTATTCGATTTTTACAGATCTTAGGACACATGATTGTCTGCTGAGTTAATAAGGATGGCACATGATCGTCTGCCGAGTTAATTTGAAGTTAATAAAAGAAATTGTCTAAACTATGTTGGAGGCATTATATATATGTTTATCGAGGATGAACATTGAATTTATTTATTTTTTATATTAGCTGTGGAGATGCTTATTAAAGTTATAGTAATTGAACTGCTGTGTGTATTTTTTTATTTGCATAGGAAAGATCTTGTTGATGAGGAATCTGGTAAAATAATTAAAAATGTTGAAGACAAATGTTTTTAGATATAAAGGGATTAAAATTTGTTAAATAAAGATAATGTATGATATGCAATTTTAGTGTGTGATATTAACAATTATTGGTTAATATTGTTAGAAGATAAATTTGTTTTGAAAGATGATGATGTAAATGCGGATATAATTTTTATGAGTTAATGCCAAGTGGTTAAAGTGAAGGAATGCCTTAAGAATATTATGTAATAAGAGTAGAATTATGGTAAATTTTACGAAATTACTGTTGATAGTAAAAAATAAGAAATTTTTTTTTTAATTTTTCATTGAATTTTCTTATGATTGAAGATGAAGCCTCAATTTAACTCATGTTGATAATGCACAGGAACTTCATGGGCGCTTGGTTAGAGTAAATTATGCTAATGATCGTCCTAGTTATGGTGGTGGTGGCGGCTTTGGTGGTGGTTATGGTGGCGGCGGCGGTGGTTATGGCGGCAGCGGCGGCTATGGTGGTGACCGTGGTGGGGCTTATGGCGGCGGCGGCGGCGGTGGTTATGGGGGTGGCGGTGGTAGTTATGGTGCTGGGGGATATGCTGGTGGATATGGAAATAGCGGCGGAGGGTATGGCGGGGGGGGGGGGGGGGATGTGGTGTGGTGTAGTGGGGGGGCTGTGGGGGGTATGGTGGTGGTGCTCCTACCAGTTTTGGTGGAGATAGCTATGGAAGCGGTACTGGTAGTTATGGAAGTGGAGGCGCTGGTGGGGTTGGGACTGGTGGTGATAGCTATGGAGGTGGAACTGGTAGTTATGGCAGTGGAGGTGCTGGTGGTGGTTTTGGTGGTGGGACTGTTAGCGACAATTATGTAACGGGCGGTGTTGGTGGGAGTGAAAACTATATTGGTGGTGCGATGGGACAAAACAACCCAAGCGACGCAGCCAACTTCGGCGGCGGTGGTTCTGAGAAACACAATTTCAACCTGGATGGATCAGGTCCTACTAGCTATGATAACAACAAGCAATATGGCAGCAACCAAGGAGGCACGACCAGTGGTCTGAACCATGACAATGAGGATGGTTTCGATCGAAGTTTGAAGGATGATTTTGCAGACAGGATGATTTTGGTTTGAAGGATGATTTTGATGAATCTGATGATTTAGCAGACAAGAGGAGATCATAATGCTTTGTTAGCACATGGACTAATTGGAAGATGAGAGCAGTCGTAGTAATCATATTTTTGCGTTTAATTGAGTTGGGGACACCAGCTGTTGTAGCTCTTGATCGTTTGGCAAAACTGTCACCTTTTCTATATTATTTTTGTCAAAAAATGTTGTTAAGCTCTTGAATGAATAATATTTTCCTTGGCGTGTAGATTTTTTAAGCAGCTGTGGGTGAGATTGCTGCACTCCATGATTGACAGGTTCTTTTCTACCAGAGGCAAACAGATTTTCCTAAGCTTTTAAAACAGGTGGTGCTTTGGGTGGAGAAGAATAACGGAAAGTATTTGCTGTGATTCTAATGGTGAATAAAATATGTATGAAATTTATATTTTTAGTCTCTGGCGCTAAGAAGTTTGTTCTGAAGTTCAAAGCTACATCAATCGGCCTTCATGTGATTTTTAGATTTATTCATACTCAGTCAATTAGGAGGGCAAATGTATGTGTTAGAACTATTTATTGGAAGTTTAAAGTACCACTCAACTCCTATGTATTTAAATATTTAAACAAATTTTTAATTTATAAATGGTGTATTTTACTTTTTTTTTTTTTATAATTTTGGTGTGAAAAAATGTTGTGATGATAATGAAAAAAAAAGGCCATAGCCTAGGTGTTAGAAATGCAAGTAGCAAGTACATCAAAATTGAGTGCCATTCATGCAAATGTAACTTATTTCCTTCTAGGAAGTATTAATATTGTGACTCAATAAAATTTTCTTGTACAAATGATTAATACGAAGTGCTTAAAATGAAGTTTTAAATTCATATAATTGTCTAATACAATCAAGGGATAATTACACTCTTATGTTAATATCATTCCTGAATGATAGTGAATCCACTCAATGACGTCCTCACAAATTGTTCTCTCAACTAATATTTAATGTAATTCAGCCAATCTTGCAGAATTTTTGTCAATAAAAAGATGCATGCACATCACAACAACTAGCAACACTTCCTCCCCACTAAATCTTCTATGATCATTAACACTACAACATAAAAGCACGTAAATGAGTACATCAAAAGCTAAAAACAACAGACAATAGCCCTTCTTACAGAACAAATTCTCACTAAATTTACCATCGCAATCCAAAATAAGCGCACAGCCAAAGCTTCAAAGCTCATCAACAATCAGATGAAAACCTGAGAGCTGCACGGCAGGAGATGGAACATTTTGGCATGTCAACTAAAATTCAAAAGATTACTTGTCATACAGCCCAAAAAGGTTTTGATCTCGTGCTCCGCATTATATCACTTCTACAGGATTCTTCGGCGGAGCCAATCATGTCATCTCCCTCTTCGTCCTCCTCGTCATACTCGACCAGCTTCAGTAGAGTATCTGAACCAAATGAGAGAGCAAATCACTAATTACAGCAATCATCGTAAGTTTCAAGTAGATGAAGACTGATTTAAGGATGTAATCACCAGAAACTGGTTCTAAACTAGCTTTCTCTGAATCTCTGTTAACAGGAGGTTCAGCAACTGCTGCCCTCATTTCTGAATTGCGATTGAGAACGGATGGAAACTTCGGAGGGGGAGGAGGCATTATTCTCAAGTTATGATCTGAGGGGAATTTCGGCGGAGGTGGAGGCATCGTTCTCGTGCTATTGGGCAGAGGTGGAGACATCGTTCTCGAGCTATGATCGGATGGAAACTTGGGCGGAGGGGGAGGCATTGTTTTAGAAAGCGGTGGCGGTGACTCACCAAGAGCTGGCTGAGTCAGCTTCTTTGAAAATTTTTGAGCAACAGTATCTAAACCTGGCTTAAAACATTCTGACTCCTGTAGTGAGTTCTGAAAAAAAAAATCAAAGCAAAAAACTTCATCCCTAAAATAATAATATCACAGGTTAAAATAACAAATATTCAACACCACCACCACCAAAAGATCTGCCCCTCTGGAGCAAAAGACGGTCAAATGGTAATGATCCAGTGCAGTTTATCATCATTAGAGGCACTCCGAAAAAACTAGCAATGACTGCAGCGGCCAAGAGGTAGAAGAATACAAGAAGATGAAATGGAGAGAATTCAAGAACCGTGGGTGATTTATCACACAAATTGTCAAGAGCGATAAAAATATAAGGTGGCATTTACATAAATACCAACTAATTCCTATGGATTTACATATCTAACATCCAATTTTTACGTTTATACCACCTAAATCATTCATATCACATAAAAATATCACAATTTTTACTTTTCAAAAGTGAAATACAATTTGTCAAGCATAGGTAAGGTGGCCTGTATGTGAAAGTTAAAGTTTAGGTTTTAGATATGTAAATACATAAGAATCTAGTGGTATGTATGTGAATCTTTCAAAATATCTCAAGCCAAGCAAGAACAGAATGAGAGGATTCAGGAGGGAAATTTGAGAGTAGACTCAAAATACAATTTGGTAAATTTACAGTGAATGCGTATGATGGAGAATATATGCAAAAAATTTCATGCGTGAGGATGTCCTGGCTGAATGTAGTAATGAACAAGCAACCCACAGCACACATTTGGTAACTCGAGAATTGTGGTTTCCTGTGAAACATGAAAGCAAGGTTCCAAGATAGCCTGTCAGCTTCAGAGAAAGTCAGAGAAAATACCTGGAATAACAGTAGAAAAATCAGCATAAACTATATCCGATAAGTGGAGGGGGAAATGCTAAAAAAAAAAAAAACAACACTTGATTATCCACTTTAGTGAATAACTTCTAAAAAACAGCTACGAAGTAGGACTTATAGTAAAATTTCCTTTCAAGGTCAGTACCTGGCATTGACTTTATTTTGATGAATCACCAAAAAGGTAAAGCATACAATACAATTAGAAAGTAGAATGTTCAACAAAAGAAAAATACCCTAGCCTACAATTGATGCACATCAATGTCATTCAATCTTGTAAATTATTCTAGTATTTATTAGCTTGATTATAAAATTTTTATTTCATTTTAATTCATTTAAATATAGGGTCATTTACCTTCTAAATTAGTGAATAAAATATTTAAGGCCTATCAAGGTAATGAATTTTAAATTAGTTAAATTTAAAATATAATCCTTTTTTTAATAAAGATTTGAGTGTTTGTAATGGTATTATATAATTATGAATAACATTTGAATCAACATTCTTTCTTGTTCCCGTCTTCTCTTGCCTTCCTCCTCTCATTGGATTACATGGTTTTCAAAGTCCAATCATGGTTTTCTTTCTCTTGGTTGTTGTAGAAAAAAATTCTGATGCAACATTATGAAAATCTCGTGTTTCCCAGGATTATTACCCTCTAAGGTTCGACAGGAAATGGATCGTCCAATTCTTTCTCACCTTAAACTCCTCTCTTCAATATTCTCGCATCTTAAGGGTGGCATTCAAGAAATTTCAGTATTATCAACATCAACAAATTTACATTATCAGGGCGTCAAGAGTGAATAATTTTCTCCAATTAGCTTCAAACTCGAGCTACTTCAAGGCACTTACATCTAAACCCTTGCAACTTCTTACTAATCAACCCCTCACTACCAGACAAAAAATTCTACATCTAGCCTGGCATTAAGAAAAATAAATGAGTTCTTTCATGAATTACCATGCGTCATGAAAACAAGGTTTGTGTTGTGTAGAATACAAAATGCATGCCAAGAAAATATATTGGGCTTATTAATACTCACAATAAGAAACAAAAATCTCTTAATTACATTTGTAATCAAGACGGTAAAAATCTCCCTCAATTTGGTATCAAGAACAAATCTTAGGTTTTTCAACTTCAGCAGTTCAGTAATGAACACTTCCAAAAGGTCATAAATGTTTAAAATTACATCCTTCTCAATATATTCTATAATTGAATAACGAAAATCAGCGAACTGTCGAAAAAAAGTAAAATAGTTCAGAATTCTCATCAGAAAGGCCTGTGAACCCCATGAAAATGCAGACAGTAAACTACATATTTAGGGCATGAAACACATAATAAACTATGTTGACTCCCCACAAGCTAAAAGTAAAATTGTATGAAAGTTCATCTTCAAAATGCTGTCCACTCTTCTTCCCTAAAGTAGAACAGCCTCATTCCTTGATTACAGTCAGAAATTGACAGTCCCATGGTAAAAATTCACATAATCCAAGTATAGGATCTACCTGATTAAGTGTTGGCAGCCCTTTTGGAACAACTGGAAGCTCCTGGAATTTCCTCTTCGGACGTCGTCGCTTTTCTGTATCAACATTTGAGTTTGATGTCATCTTTGGCAACACATTTGCATGTGAATTTGTGGAAGCAACAACCGAAATGGTTGAAACAGGGGCCTGTTTAAGCGCCAGAGCGACTTGCTGCAATGGTGTGGCTTGGGGATATATCCCACCATATCCACTGTAACATGTTCCTCCTGTTGCTGTTGGATAAACATAACCTCCCGTGTTCGGAATGGAGGCTCCACAGCTAGACAGGTTTCCATTCTGCATTAGAACTCCTGAAGGAAGCACAGTAGATTCAGAAGGTACTACCAATGTACTAACAACCAAATTGGCAGACACTTCCGTATTCGCAGAGCTCACAACTCCAGCCAACAACTGCTGTGGAGGAGGAACTGCATTGAGTGCCTTGCTTGATGAAACCCTAAACCACAAGGAATACGACCACATTATTTATATAAAAAAAAATTTTACATTATCAAGTAGAATAATCTACTTGACAGTTACATGCAGATGACACAAATGAAACAAGAGGAATTTGAAATTATCAGAGTATTGGAAGATATATATGAGACCAAAAGCTGAAATAAGATAAGGTAATTTCAGCACGAATAAACTACCACAACAGAGTATGGTCTAATTGCATGCTGTAACGTGGGAAAATTTTAGAAATGTGAAAACCTGGAAGCACCACATTCAGCAGCAATTGTATCCAAAAGGTTTTCAGCTAAGCTCCTTGCAGCTTCAAGACTCTTGGTATTTGTACTTGACAGAAACAGGTGCAGTGGTTGCAGAGAATCTGCAAACATGAGAAATTAATGGATGAGAGCGGATCACAGCGGCTACTTGCTGCAAGAAATGAGAAACCATACCTTCAGCATGAGAATTGTCCTGATTGGCAGAACCAATCCCTCTCAATTCAACGGTTGCTCCTGTTTCATTGATAATGTGATTTATATACTGATCCTGCGCATACAAATCGAACCAGCACAAAAAGAATCTCCCCCCAATTGTATGGAGATACAGAGAAAGCTTAAATATTAGAAATTTCTCACATCAATAAAAAACAGTGTGTTTCATAGAATGAAATGTAGAAAAAAAATATACAATAAATCATAACTTTATTCAAAGAAAATTTTTTATTCAAAAAGAGAATAGATGAACACTAATCAAAGAGTATTGTTAAAGGAAAAGCTTTGATTATAATTGTAATGTTATCTACCAAAATGACAATTGTAAGTAGGTAAGGGTTATAAAAAAGGCATAAAAAACTAATAAAAGGCAATTCCAGTGAAGACGTACATTAGGTCCTCTAATGCGAGCTGAAATGTTTATAAATGGATCGGGATCAAAGCCCAAAAACAAACAAGTGCTCAGAGGTAGATTCACCTGTGCCACAGAAACAGGAAAATCATTTATATCACTTCGTACTCACCCATCCATCAATATTTTTTAGTCAATGTGAAACACACCTGCCCAGCACTGCTAAAGGCGGCATGTGGACCAGAAGTTGATAGTAAGTTGTGCCCTTGCCGCAGTATTTCCTCAACCATGGAGGCTGCATGATCAACAGCTATAATTCGTTCTGCCATGTCTTTCAACTGGAATCAAACACACGCATGACCCACAAAAGATAACTCGATCAGTATAGAACATGGTGCAGTTCCAAATGGATTCATCCAAAAACTTATGACATCATGACATCATGCACAAGAAACAAAACAACCTATATTCTATATTGCAAGAGTTCAAATGAAGCGTAAGATAAATAAAAAATTATGTTTTTAACGAGAAAGCACTAGAATCACAGTCCAGGCTAATACATTGCCGGCATATGATTAAAAAATATTAAAAAAAAGGCACCAAGTAAAAAAACAGAGATTCTGCAGTCAAAGTTTTTCAGGACTAGCCTGTCAGTCTCCATTAAAGGGAACGTACCACACAATTCTTATGTATTCATACATCAAACACCAAAAGTTTAACATTTACACTTATAACACCATCACTGTCATAAAACTATGCATGAAAAGGTGGATTTCACTTTTAGAAAGTTAGTGATGGAGCTATTTTTTATGTAATGAAAAGATTTGAGTGGTATAGATGTAAATATGAATGTTTAGGTGTTAAACATGTAAATACATAAGAATTGTGTGATAAGTATGTAAATGACCCTAAAGTAAAATATACTCTGCCAAATACCTTTTTTCCAGGTAAATTCTAAACAGAGTATTGCAGTCATCAAGCAAAAAAACATGGAGTACAAAACTAACGTGACAGAATGCGTTCAGATGAAACATAGAGAAAGCCAATAACAAAGAATAAGTTATAGGTTAAAAATAAAAATAATAAAAAAAGGAAGAAGACAAGAAATGCAAGCCCCGGCACAATTTACATAGTGCCAAGGCAGTGATCAATGAATCTGAGCATTTTAGGATACCGGCACATTTAGCAGTACCTTAAATGGAGATAAGAACTTTAGCTACACTTTTTGGTGCATTAGCACATTTAATGATTCAATAATAGGCTTATTGATGCAATTGCAATTACTAGTCTCACAATCCTTGTGGCAAGATTATTACAGGAGATTTAAAACTTTAGCTTGCTCATAGAAGAAAATTGTGAGTTGTTTGTGCACTGTCATGTATTTCAAATAGTACATTTCCACCTGTTCAACAATCCTCATGACTCAAAATAAGACTAGTGAGTTGATGGATCTTTTAATTCATTTAAGTAAGCTGAGTGACCTGAGTACTTGGCATGTGCTACTTGATCAACAATGACTTATGGTACCAACGAGTCCAGTTGGCAAGGGCTATGGAAATTGCTTCTAAGATCTTAGGTTCAATTCTTGCTTACAAAATAATGAACTCTCATACTGCGGACTTTCAATTGGGACAAAAATATGAATAAACAAAATTAAAAAATTAATGACTAAGTTAGTCTGAATTTTCAGCAATATAGCATGATTGAGTAAGGTTGACAATTGAAGATTTCAAAGTATCAAGTTGAAAACCTAATCAACTTTGTTTGCACAATATGAGAAAAACACATTTGAAACTTTGGTTCTGACCAGATGAATTTTTAAGGATTTCCCAAAGCTTATGTAAGAGGGATTAGGAACTATTTATGCAACAAAACCACTAATATTATGTCGGACCAACAACGGGGATCTATGAACTAAACTTCAGATCCAGGAGAACTAGTGAGAGCAAGACTACCATTACCATGAAAATAGAAAAGTCAAACGCAACAACAATAAAGCTTATCACAATGGATGTTAAAGATAATGGCGCAATGGATCAGCAATGTTGACAATCTTCTCAATCACAGTTTGTGCAACAAAATTTATGGTTGTGATGATGATCAAGAATGCAAGTATACAAGCAGCCAGTGCTAAGATGCACTCTTCAGAGAAAAACAAATAAATAAAGGAATAATGGCACTTACATGGGAACCGGCAGAAATATGAAGATAAAGAGGCTTTTCACCATCTGGCAAAGTATTAGGAGGCCGATATTTTCCTCTAATAATAAAAAGATAAATTTGAGTATAAAATTGAGTAAATATTTTAAAACTGTTCAAAAGTTTAAAGCCAGCATACCTGGTGATAACAATGGCACCAGTGCTTCTCTGAATCTGAAAGAAATAAGTTCATTTACTTTCATGTCAGCAAAACATTGTTTTGAGAGGGTGGAGAATATGACCTTAGCAACCAAAATAGATAATTAAAAAACAAAGACAAACAAAGTCCCTCAAATTACCTCCTCCTGGGTTTGACGCTTGGTCAGCTTGTATCGGATAGTTGGTTCAGCATCATTTATTGTTATTTCCCGGGCTATCAGTTCATCTTGAACCTTTGGCTGAAAACACAAGTAAAACAAAATGAGTTTCAATGGAAGAGAAGCATCAAAAATCAAAAGGAAAATGAATTACAATGGAAAAAAAGGCTTAAAAGAAAAGCAAATCCAAAAAAGAAAAAAAAAGCTAGATTATTAATGCCAATCAAATCCAAGCTATTTTGGACCTGAGTTTATTTATAGATTAATTTTTGGCATGCAACCTTCGTTAAAACTGCATATGGAATAACTAAATTAAATCTTTTAGAACAAATTTTAATGACGCTAGCTTTGGCCAAGCTGCATTAGCTTCCAAGCCCTTGCATAGTTATTTTAGAACCAAATTTTATCAATGCTTCCTTTTCTATCCGTTTTTATGAAAAATTTTAAAATAAATTCTGCCACAAGTTTATCCAATGCATACATTACCCAATTTTCCTTTCCTAGTTTAAGCACACATGCAACCTAATCTTCTAATTTATAATACAAATTTCGAACAGGGATAGTGTTTACCGCCCTAGAAAAACTCTCCCATATAAATTGTAAACTTCCCTTCATATACAATGGATTTTTTTAGCTTCAAGTGCTCCAATGACTCCCACCCATTTTAATCATCCAAATATCAAACTTTAGTCTATAATAAACAACCCCATCCATGAAACAACCATGTTATAAAACATCTAATCCTAAACCTATCACAATATTAATTGATTTCTATGACTATTGCTATTCATAACCGTTTTCAAAAAGGATAAAATCGCACATACTAAGTCCTTGAATTGGCTATATGAATCCACTAGCATCTATAGCATTCTTTGTTCTCATTTCACATTTCATTAGTTTTCCATCACGCAAGTTAGACTTATATAATTCACATATCATATCCACAACAACACGGTTTGAAAAAAAATTGACATAAAACCACATGAAAAAAAGGGAATTGATCAATAAGAATGAGAATGTACGGAAGGTTCTTAGGAGAGATAAAGGAACAAAAATTTCAAATTTGGGACATGAATACACAATTATGCACTGTTATCATACACAAAGTAACATAAAAGCCAAAGCTAGGTTTAGGACTGCGATATTTTATATAAATGAACATAAAGGAAGAATAACATAACCAAACATAAGCAAATTTGAATTGAAACAGTTAAGAATTAACAACAACTACGAAAAATTGTACAGAAAATAACAAACAAAAACTACGAAAAAGAAAACCTGGCTTAATTTCTGGACAAGTGTAGCAGCACTCTGGGCGATCAATGGCACTACAGTATTTGCTGCAATAGCATTAGAAAGTGGGAAAACTCCTGGAGCAGTAATCCCTATGGTGTTGCCAAAGCCAATAGGAATAGTGCCAGGTATGGATATCCCACTAGAAACAAGGAAATCAGCGGGTTCATCCCATCTTCTCTTTTTCCTGTCAGACGATTTGAATTTGGCATCAGTTAATATCAGTGCAGAATTCCAAAATCTTTAACAAGTAACAGAAATTTATAAGATATAATTATACATGGGACTTTTTTAGCACGCAGCTAGAAGCAATCTGAATAACAATGAAAGAAGGAATTTTTGCAGCATGCACCTTGTGTGAAAAAGACAATTATCTCCACATTGATCGTCCATAAAAATATACAGCTCAAATTTCAGTATATTAACTACTTAAATATGTAAAATTCATTCATTTCCTAATATTTTAAATAAGAGTTTACTCTTTTCACTTCAATCCATCCAAACTAATAAATCTTGATACCATTCCCTAGTTATATCTCAGCTTAGAATAATGAAAATGTGATTGCCTGTTTAGCGACGTCCCATCCAATAGCTCAATACACTTAGGATATATCTGAAGCTGGCTCTCACAAGGCAAAGTAACACCATAAAACAATAATATAATTACTAGAAGCTATGAAACACCAAGTACACTGAAGACCTTAAATAACTAAAAGTTGATAGAAAAGAAGCAGTGGACATTCCGTAAAATAATAGTGCGGTAGAAACACGAAGATAGGTCAAGCTCTTCTTTTATTATTTTGATGATTAAACTCTAATGAATGTTAGTTTAGGGGCTTTTTGGTAGAGGCATTCAATAGGATTTATCACCATTTTTACTAAATCCAAAAAAACAAGAAGATGTGGAAGCTCGGTGGATTTACTAAATCCAAATTTACCTTCGATTTGGCCAAAATTCCGAATTAACTAAATCCAGGAGTTCGGTGAATTTATGGATATATGAATCCTACGTGCAGCCGAACAGCCCCTTAAAGTTGTAGAAAACACAACAAGATATCAAAAGTTGATTTCAAACTTAAAGTTAGGGTACAAGAGCCAGACGATAGAATACACGCGAAATTTGTGAAGGGTGCATTATAACCAAATTTAGGGCATTAAAATTTAAAACCCAAACTCACAGCTGCAACTTTTTCTAGCATACACTTGCTTTGCCGAAATACTCATAAGATAAATAAGAAAATAAAATCATAAGCAAGAGGTAAAGGAAGAAAGAAACGTATAACAAATATAGCAAGTATAAAACTGCTCCAGCAGAATCACTTAATCAATAATAAACACTAAATACAGCCCTTGATAAAAACAAGCATTGAGATGACAATCAACACATCAAATGTCTTCTGTATCTTAAGAACACACAAATTTGAGCAAGAGAAAAATGATAACCAAAAAACTAGGAACAGACCCGCCAACACGGGCTCTTCTACAGCATATATAGCTAAACCCCCCCTACAAAAACAAAATACCCACACGCCAGACTCTGAATATAAAAGCCAAATCGAAGACGCAAACAAGAATTCCATCTATTTCCCCCAAACCCATGAATACATCAACAAAGGGAATGAATAATCGCCAAAGCACACGTAAATCAAATGTGAATAGAAGACGTACCTTTGCCGCATAGTGCTTGCGGCCGACACGGAGTCTTCCGCTGGCTTCGTTCCGGCATCCTCAGTCATCCTTGCCGAGATGGTAGATGCGCTTAGGTCCGAACACGAACTCGACGAAGAAAGCTAGATTTCGAAAGAGAATCGGCCCTTAAACAACCTTTCGCCTGATCTGTCCCCCTTCCTGTACGAGAAAAATGGCGGCTAAAGCAGAGGAATTCGGCGGCTGATTGCCGGAAGGGAGTCGTGGGTTTTCCGAAAGGAGATTGCGTCTCACATGCAGAGATCGGTCGATTTTTAAGCGGTCTTGTTTATTGCGCCATGGGCCGTTCTCTTTGGGCCCACTAGTTGAATCCCTGGCGCACACAAAATGGCCTTTTCTAGCACATGAGGATAATGCGATTGATTTTTTTCTTTTTCTTTTTTTTTGCAAAGGGAAATAAGATTTTATTATTATTATTATTATTATTATTATTATTATTATTATTGTTATAAGTAATATAAGAGTTCTGATTATAAAAGATTATTTCTTATCAAAATAAATTCTAAATAATATAAATTTCTTAAGAAAATTAAAAAAAATACGAAAATAGGCCAATTATCTACCCTAAACTTAAAAGCAATATCTGATAATAAAATAAACATGTAATTTTATAAGATACTTTGAAATAAATAAATAAATAAATAAACATTGAGAAATGAATATATAATTTAATTCAAAAAAAATATTTTCTTAGTATTAATTGACCTATTTTCAAAAACAAAGAGATTAATTACATCTCTACACTATCAAATTTTTTAGAAAATTAGGCTAAATCCTGAATAGGCTCGATGCTTTTTCCCTTTGCTTCCATTCCATTAAAAAATAATCTTACAATCTATTTTAGGAACAAAATAAAGTGCATAATCTATTTTAAATAACTTAATAATATATATTCATAATCTAAATATTCAGCTAAAAGGGAAATAAATCAGAATAAAGATAAACATCAAAAATAATTTAAATATGAAAGCTACTAATTATAACAAACTCCTAATTTAGCTGCATGATTTCCGTACTTCCTGATTGACACACACTATAAAAATACTCACGAATTTGATTTAAATCACCCATCATAAACATTGAGAGCCCCCTTACATACATATCACCTAATTCTATTTACATATCAAACACCCTTCACATTTTCATGTATATGTTTACGATACCAAGGCATTATACGTGTAAATATCAAACTTTTGAGTATAGAAATGCAAATAGGTAAAACAATGTGGATATGTATGTAAAATTTCAAATAAAATAAAATAAAATAAGTTAATTTTGTTGGGCCACATCAAGCAAGGTTCAAGTAGAACAAAGTAACAATGAGACCCATCAGAATTGCATTATTGCAAGTAGCAAATAAGTGTTCCTCTTCCCTAAAATAATGTCACAATAATCACGAAAAAAAATCATATAAAATTGGACAAAAATGAGCTTCGAAGCTCGGGGAATTTACATGCATAACACGGGGAACATTGTTATTTACAAATTAGGCATCATCTTTCATTCATTTTTTTCAAATTTTCGCTCAAATATCAAAATTTATGTTCGTGGTATTCATAAATGTATTGGTTCGTAGTTCAAAAAAATCACCTCGTGCTTGATTTGTAAATATCAATGTTCCGGGTGCTCTGTATGTAATTATCCCAAACAAATATTTAAGAAAATGGAGTGCCTGGTGGATGCCAATTAAGTCTTTAAAACTCTTGAAAAGTACTGCGGTCATCCTCAAATCAACCCTCTAATTCATCATATTTATGTTTTAGCCCTCAATTTTTTTTTTAAATAAAAAAAAAATAAAAAAGAGGAGTGATATGTGGGACCCCCTCCATTTTTTCTCCTCCCTTCTTCCACCATAGTTCTTGAAGAATGAATGCTCTGCTGACATGATCTGAAATTTGAAGCTACTTATAAAATAATAAACATATGTAAAATTTCATACACATAATCAGAGGAAAAAAAATATTTACCATGATTTAAGCATTGCATGACCAGTCTTACTCAAATGAGAAAACAATTTATTCCTGCAACATTGAAGGTTAAATATATAAATATGTAAATATATATATA